GAGGCAATATTTCCCCTCGTAAACTGGTTTTCAGGAGATGTTTACCTTTATAAGGGCAAATGCATCATCTAGTCTATTTGTACATAAATTCAATTAGAATAAGATACTAGTCGGTATCAACAAAATCTGTTTTTGTACTGCTGGTACAGAAGCTGCATCTAAAGCAGCTTTATTTACACTGTGTAGTTAAATAGCATAATGCTATGAGATTAATGTTTTAAAAATAATGTTGTGCACATTGAAATGCACAAAAAAAAATGTTTGCTTTCATAAAGTATTAAAATGTATTCAGCAGTGCTTCAGTCTTATTACCTTTATCAACCCATGAAAACACTGAAATAGTAAATGTTTTTAATGAAATTTTATATTATTTTTATAAGCAATTTTTTTTTGCGTGTTTTAGTCTCATATTTAACGTATCATTTCATTAAATAAATTTAAATATGAACCTAAAACATGCTGTAGATGGTGACAAGTCTTAACAAGTGAGTCATTGATTCATTTATTCAACTGATTTGTTCAAACAATCCATTTAGGAGCAACGCAAGTGATCTTAATGAATGGATAATTGAATCATTGATTTGTTCAAAAACACTTATGCATCCACTGTGTGACGCACAACTTTGTTTTTTTGGGCTATATTTCGCCAACAAAAATAGATGAAAACAACCTTGACAATATTGTGTCTAAAATGTAACTATTATTTAACTGTAAACAAAAAAAAATCAACATCACATTCCTAAATGTGCTGATATTTGGGAAAAACTGCAAGCTTGCTTGTGCGATATTGCTTAATTTTACTGTGTCATATAGAAATATAAGAAAGAAACTTATTCGGGGCATTTTTGCCATCATATATTGAATTTTGTGTTCTTTCTACTATACATTCTACTATAATGTCAGCTTTCCAGATCATAAAAAAAAACAACTGCGATATTATCATAGACAATACATATTGCACCTCCTATAGATATGACTAGATTTTTGCATTTTCTGTGCAGTTCACTCATACATAATTGAGCACAGTGGTGCTGGAAGGATGTTGATATGCAGTTTTGTTGCTGGGTGGTTGCTAGGGTGTTTTGGATGGTTGCTAAGTGATTGCTCACTGTCAATATATTCAGGTCTCTAGATGTGACTCTGGTCCCTCCATTGTAAGTCTATGGGATTTTTACTCTGTATGTCTTTAGTTTGTACTCCTTTGCCCTGTTTCTTGTCGTATTTTCGTCTTTTTTCTCTCTGTTTTTCTTTGATAACACTGTTCCATGCTCTCGAGCCAGACCGAATCGAAGTGCACCGCAAAACTTCCTCTTCAGCAGACTAGACGATTGATAAATGATGGAAACTGGCCGTCCAGCTGGTTTCGGTCCAGCTGAGGAACATGGGATTTGCAGCCTGTCTGTAATGACTTTTAACAGTAATGTTTGCCCTGACTTGTGATGCACTGGTGCCCAGATTGAAGCTTCTGACAAAACCCTGCTGGCCAGAACTGACTTTGAAACATGCTCTGACCGTCTGCCACTACCTAGTTTTCATGTTGTCTCCTTTTTCCTCTCAACACTCTCTTCATCTTCTGCTCTTCCACCTTCCCAGAGGACAATTGTTTTGCTCAGAGTTTTCTTTAATGTTTTACTATATAAGTGTACTATATGTACAATATAAAAACGTAATAAAATATATACTATATATTTTTAAATTTTGAAAGAAAAATTTGTATGTTGTTATTCTTTTATATAATTATTTTTTATATTTTATTATTTTATATTTGTACTTTTTAAAGTTTTTCTTTTCTCCTGTTCATTCTGATTCTGACATTCCTAAATTTGAATATTTTCAATTATTTTCTATTCTTGACAGATTTTTTTAATTGTATTCATTTATACAAATGTGCAAGTATTTTGTACAATATATTTATGGAATATTTATACAAAATAATTGCTATTATTCTCATAATTTTTTGCTCAAATTGTTTTTTTTGCTATAGTTCAGATGTATACATCCAATAATACTGTAAATAAAAAAAGAATAGTGACCACCAAACAGAAGCTAAATATTTTCTAAATATTATTTTACACATATTTATAAAATTTTATTTTTTACAGCCTATACACATGAAAATATACATGAATCTACATGAAAACACTTATATCTTTTTAATATTGGGTCTATGACCTCACAAAATTTAAAGGGATAGTTCACCCAAAAATGTAAATTCTGTCATTAATTACTCACCCTCATGTCGTTCCAAACCCGTAAGACCTATGTTCAGCTTCGGAACACAAATTAAGATATTTTTGATGAAATCCGAGAGCTTTCTGACCCTCCATAGACTCCATAGACATAGACACAACTGACACGTTCAAGACCCAGAAAGTTAGTAAGGACATCTTTAAAATAGTCCATGTGACAGCAGTGGTTCAACCTTAATTTTATAAAAAAAATACTTTTTGTGCGCAAATAAAACAAAAAATAAAACATGTTCCGAAGATGAACGAAGGTCTTACGGGTTTGGAACAAAATGAGGGTTGAGTAATTAATGACAGAATCTTCAGTTTTGGGTGAACTGTCCCTTTAAAAGCTCCTTCGACTAGGTGAACAATTGAGATCAGCAATCTCCTATATGTGATTGTTGTTTCCTGTCGCTCGAGAGCTCCCATACGTGACCTGATCCTCTCCAAGAGTTGTACCATATTCCTGGCTGTGTGCTGCCAATGTGTTGCTGTTTATCGAGTGCAGTAAAACTTTGGCATCCGATATCGCATCCCTCTGGGTATGTGGTATCTGTAAATGAGTGAATAAATAAAAACACGCTTCCATTCCTACTCTGACCCAGGGCAACCCAAGGATCTGCTCTGTTCTGGGTCCTATAATGGGACAGATGTGTCTATTTTGGGGTTTGTGCTTTTTATTTATTAACGGCAGCCTCTTAGACTGCTTACCTGTAGATATTCTTCAGTTGTTTCCCCGTGGCTCCATTTTTACACAGTCCTGTGGCTTTTTAGAGGATTGTTTTAAAAAGAAGGGATATAATGTCTGTTACTCTTGCTTTTTTCACAAGCCTTGCTGCTTCTCACATTCTGCTGAGCTGTAGTGGTGTTTGTCATGATGTTGTGAAGGCCATAGACAGGGTTATCATTACGATTGGGGTCAGGGTTAAGTGGGACAGACGGCTCATTTCTGTGTAATGTTGTGCAGCGATGCATTCGCCGCTACAGCACATCTGCATGCAGCTGTACAGTGTCATCGGTTTAATCCAGACAGCCGTTAAAACATCTTTCCACAGACCACTGAGCTGTTGCTTAAATTCACAGGGCCCTGAAGAATTTAATAATGTTCGGATGATGATTATGTCTGATTTGAGTGTTTAACTCCGTACATGAGGATGTGGTTTTATTCTCAATGTGGTGAAGTCAATGAAAACCGAGTTATGAATCATTCTGGTTCATTACTTGACCACTGGTGGCGCCAGTTTTTACAAATTCATTAGGTGTAGATTTGCATAGCCTACTGTGCAGGTGTGGGATGTGAACTGACAGATGATTCAGAACTTGTTTGATCCTAAAAAATAAATGGATTTTTGTTATTGGTTCTCAAATGTTTATTCTTACACAGATGTGGAACTGCTATCCACCAAATCCTGAATGGCCAAATTACTTTTATGAACTTAGTTCTTTTTAAGTAAACTAAGTAAATTCTGCACAAATGATTCTTAGGGGCTGGTTCTTTTTAAATGAATCAAAATCATAAATCGTGACCAGCGTATTCTGAATTATGAACAAATGATTCTTAGGGGCTGGCTCTTTTTATGTGAATCAAAAATCATACAGTGTTACTAGTTTACTCTGGTTTTTTAAAAAAGAATTTAAAACATGCGTTGTGACCAGAGCATTTTGAATCCTGAACAGTTGAATCTTATGAGTTCTTTTTAAGTTAATCAAAATCAATGACCAGTCGAATCTGAATCTTGAACAAAGGATTCTTACTAGCAGGTTCTTTTTTTTTTTTTTTAAAGAATCGAGACTGCAGTGTGACTGGTGTTATCTGAATCACGAATAAATGTCTCTTATGAGCTGGTTTCTTTTTAAGTTAATCAATGTCGTATAAATCCTGAACAAACGATTCTTACATGTGACCAGTGTAGTCCGAGTCCTGAAAAAAAAAATTCTTATGGGCCGGTTCTTTTATAAATAATTAAAAACATACATTGTGACAAGTGCAGTTTGAATTCTGAACTGTTGACTCTTACGTTTTTTTTTTAAGTGAATCAAAATCATACGGTGTTACCAATGTAGTATGAATCCTGAATAAATTACTCTTTAAAGTATGAGCCTGCACTTTTTAGTGAATCAAAATCATACAGTGCTACCAATGTAGTACGAATCTTGAACAAATGACTCTTATGATCCAGTTCTTTATAGAGAATCAAAAACCTAAAGCGTGACCAGTGTAGTCTGATTCTTTTACAAATTATTCTAATAGGCTTGGAACCCCATTTTAATTGGTTTAGCAGTTTTATTTAATATGTAGTTAGAGACAGTTTTTAGATTGCATTTATAGTGAAGGATGTGAAAAGTCATTAAGCCTTTGTAAACATAGTTTGCAAGAATTGTTTTAAACTTTTGAAATCGGAAATTTTGCCATCAGTTGTCAACAGAAATCTCAAGAATTCGTTTTTTTTCCCTAAATATTTATTCCTCAAAATACTAAAATCATTAATTAATGGAAACATTACAAGGAATCGAGACCTAGATTCCTATTGCTGTTTACGGAAAGTTTATTTATTTTGTAAATCCCAATGCGTGCGTCTGGGAAGTCTTGTACGTAACGTTCATAAATCAGGCTACAGGAATGTGTATCAAGGAAATAAATAAAATTTATTTTGAATCCAAGTCTCCATTTTGTCTCTTTACATTATTTCTCTCTAGGAGACCCGACTGAGATGTTAAATTGTTCTCCCATTGTGACTTTTCCTTTCCTCTGGCTTCTTGTGTTCCTGATAGTTCATCAGGCATTTCCTGGACTTCCTGGTTTCTTGGCCCAGTCCAGCTGTGAGTCCACCTGCTCCGCTTGGAGATTCAGCTCGCTTTCCCATGACTGCTGGAGTCAATTAACGGCTCAGAAAAACCACCGCATTGAGGTGAATTTAGATGCAACTGCCTGCCGAGTGGAGGAAAAGAGCCCAGCGCTGCAGTGACAGGTACATATGAATGCTGCCAGAATCCAACAGTCTCACATTCACGTCCTTGTTGATTCGTCACAAGCCGAGGCAGAGCTGAATAAGCTGGCGGACGGCCATGTTGAATCAGTGCTTCATCGTATAAACATAATGCAGTGGAGATGAAATGTGGTATTTTCTGTTCTTTGTGTACCTGTCTTCACCGTGTGGGTTAGAATTTGGCCCAGCGTTCCCGTAACATTGGGAAAATAGGCTTAAAAATGCTGTTTTTGGCATGGAGCACCAGGTACGTTAATGCGCTGTCAAAGACTTGACTTTGCTCATGTTCTTCTGTCTTATATCAAACACAGGCATGCTGAGTGTAATCTGCGATGATATACAGTAGGATCTGTAGTCTATAGTGAAGCATGTAACATTTAAAGGTCGTCCATTAGTGTAGTCCCATAAAATACCATAATAAATGGTAATTTCTTATTTATTCTAAAGTTTCATTCAGCTGCCTGCGGCATGTTTGAAGCAGCGATTTTTTCTTTACGTGCTCTTATAGTATTCATTAATATTCAGGATTTACGTTTACTTTTATATTTTCCCTTTTCATTTAAAAAAAAAAATTCTGTTAGTTTTATATTTTTATTTAGCTACATATTTAGTCATTTTAGTACTTTACCTTAAACTTTCAACTTTTTAACTTTAACATTTCAGTTTCGTGCCAAGGCAACATTTCCAATTATTAAGTTTAAGTTTTTCTTATATTTCTCATCACATGTGAATGTCTTGAGATTTATTTCAGTTCATGAAAAAGATTTGTAATAATTACTGGCTATTTTTTTTTAGATAGTAATACTGGTTTGAGCTGGGATTGAAATCTAAAACGCAAAAAAAAAAAAATCTTAGTCAGTACTTTTGTCTTGTTTTGCAGGAAAAATGCAGTAAATATCCCTAAAACAATATTTTCTGTGCAAGTCAAATTATGTAAATTATTAATATTGGAACATAATTTTTTTTCAGAAAATATTTATTGAATTAGGTTCATTTTTCTTACCATATTTGTCATGTTTTTTTCTCTCGTTCTCTCATTTTTTATCTCGTTTTTATTTTACTTAAAATAAGAATAGTGATGCTCTCAATCAAGCAAAAGGTCTTTTTCAGTAATGCAGAAATTAGTTTTATTTTCTAAATTTTTTTTAATCACAATAAAAAATGTTTAGTAAAAAGCGATTTAAATAATTTTTTTATTATATTTTTTAATCATTATAAGTAGGGATGCACCGATACCGATACTGGTATCGGTATCGGGCCCGATACTGGTCTCCTGTACTTGTACTCGTTAAAATGCCCCGATACCAAACGCCGATACCACACAGCATGTGATAAGCGCCATATTCAAACAAAGAAACACCAACAACAGAACAACAGACAGCAGAATGGAGTTAAGGATGTCTACTACGAAGTATATGTATGCAATGAATAAAACATTAAACATTCAGTATTAACGCCTGTATAGCTGATGTGCGGCGAGCTGATAAACAAAGCGCGCTGAGTAAATTGAGCGTGCGGCGGCGCAGATGCGCGAGCTTGTCGAGTGAATATGTCTTTCTCCCAGACATCACTGGAAAGTTTGTAGTTCGGTCGGATATGTCAAAAACAAGTAAGTAAAACAATGCACAAGTTACTTAACGGTAGGGAGGGAGGGAGAGAGAGAGAGCGAGAGAGAGAGAGCGCGCAATTCTGTTGTGTGATCTTTGATGTTCACTCACTTAGCACACGCATCATTTGGATTAAAACGAAATCGTAAAAATGAAACCATTTATAGGGGCATTCACTATAAACATCATTTATTTTCAACCTTAGGCATACACGACTTACTGGCGAAAGTGAAATAGCTTGTGTGAAATAATCTAGTCTGTACTACTGTCCTCTCATTCTGCATCAGTACAAATACATGCACGCGTCGCGCGTGTTTTGCTTGCTTAAGTGTTTCTGCATTATATGAGCAGAGGCGGACAAAGTACACAACTCCATTACTTGAGTGAAAGTACAGATACTGCTGGTCAAATATTACTCCATTACAAGTAAAAGTTGTAAAGACAGATTTTTACTTAAGTAAAAGTACAGAAGTACTTGCTTTTAAAAGTACTTAAGTACCAAAAGTAAATTTCCTTGTTTATGTCAATGCACTGTTTTATTGTTGTATGTAATACTTGCAATACTTAATTTAACTGTATATAAAAATACATCTTGCCACGTTTACCACAATATTAACTTCTTATTATTGAATTGTTGTAAATAAATATCACATTTGCAGCTGGTCAGTGTTCAAAAAATGCTGGGAAATCATTTAATGTAGTCCTACAAAAGTGATTACTGATAAACTGTCAGAAAAAAAGAAAGTCGCGTTTTAGAGAAGAAAAAAAAATCACCCACTGACTTTCAAAGCTGCTACATAGTAACGACTTTCTACTTCGAGGACCTTGATAGAAATGTAGTGGAGTGAAAAGTACAATATTTGTCTTTCAAATGTAGTGAAGTTAAAGTCATAAGTTCCCAGAAAAAATAATACTCAAGTAAAGTACAGATACTCAAAAAGTGTACTTAAGTACAATACTCGAGTAAATTTACTTAGTTACTATCCGCCTCTGTATATGAGTGGCTTTGGAATATAAATCTCAGCACGTTTCAGACGAAAAAACGCGACTTCTATTTCTGAAAATATCACTGTTAGGAGATTTATAACGAGTGGTTCCCTGCATTATTACAGCAAAGCGCGTGATTGCAGTACTAAGCCTCTGCTCTAATGCTATTAAATTAAAGATGATGTACCATAGAGCAAAAAAAAAAAAAACAGTGAAAGTAACAAAAACTTGTAAAACACATTTTAATGGGCATAATTAAGTGTGAAAATAACTGAAGGATATATAGTCAAACCAAAAATGATTCAGAGAGCAGATATCATTTTTGATATTTTTTTACTAGTGGGTGCAGGACACTATAGTTCATTTATGTAAGTGAGGATAGCAAAATAAAGTAAACTGTGACAAATCATACCCAAAAATTCTTCATACAGTGGACTACCAGTAAAATTGATACAAATTTGGGTCCAAAAATTATTCAGACCGAGTCTGGGAAAAAACTGAAGTTGAGGTTTGCATGAAGCTGGGTGACAGCATGCCCAGGAGACTACAGGCTGTCATTAAGGCTAAAGGTTGCCCGACAAAGTATTCATAGTTGTGTAAATACTGTCATACTAACAGCTGTCTGAAGTATTTTGGTTGATTGTAATCTATTACATACCTTTCTATCAAAATGATCTAGCATTATCAAGATGAATTTGTTCTGACACAGTGTAACTCTGAGTTCTTGTCATATTTTATTACCATTTTCTAAACTATAGCGAATAAACTGTGATAATGTGAGAAATGTTGAAGGTGTCTGAATAAATTTTGGTTTGACTGTATCTATTTGATAAATGAAGTTAACCAACTAACATTATACATACCCTTTTGGTTTCTGTACCCAATATCTAAAAAATGTACAAATGCAATAAAAATATCGGTATCGGTACTCGGTATCGGCAAGTACCAAAAATAAAAGTATCGGTATCGGGCGAGTACTGGAAAAAGTGGTATCGGTGCATCCCTAATTATAAGTGATTTATTTTTCTGCCTATAACATGACACAAATAAGGTCGTTTTTATTATTCAGTTTCTTATAAAACAAAGACATGAATGAAGAGAAAATGGAGACTTGAGGAATAAAGAGCAAAATTCTCCTGCTTTTTGTGGATTTTTCTTCTGCGATGAACACTCCAGTAATGCCACATTTGTCTCCTCTAGAGTTTCAGGAGAGATTTCAACAATGTCTCAAACTGTGCTAAAGTCAGATTTCAATATAAACTCAATTCCCCTTACATTCCTATGCCATCCACATTCTCTTACTGAATACCAACTATTGTCTCATCAGTGTCTCATAAGGAATTTTAGGAGAAATATCTGAGACAATGTTGATGTCATTGAGAACACCAAGTCTTGAGCAATGAATGGGCAATCTCTGAGCAATAATATGAGTATTAACTGAATGACGTTTTATTGACTATTCTCAAAACTTTACAGAAACCAAAATGTCTGAAAAATGACTTCCTCCTTAAAGTAGATGACAATCTCACGCCAAACGGTCAATCTCTCCATCTTCTAGCGTCATCGGCTGCCTTTCTGGTTAGTCATGTTTGTTTGCGTCTGTTTATTCATATCTGGCTTGTCTTCTTTCATAGGGAGAGAGGGCTTTTGAGAACGAGAGGTGAAAGCAGGCTGCTATCAGATCCAGTCTGATGTGGATGTATTTGGTTTCATTTGTGTTTTGAGACTAGAGCAAGTCCATACTTCCAGCTCTTATCCAAAATGATAGCGGAGCAATAAATTTGACAATTTTCTGATGACTCGATGGGAAAATGTAGTGCTGCATATAAACAACATTTTCCATTCAATATTGAAGATAAAACCAAATATATTTAATATGCAAAGCTTCTTCAGTTACGGTAATAAAAATAACCTCTTGTCCGAATACATTTTTTAACTGAATCATTGACTCCTTCAGACTGAATCGTCCAATTATTCATATTCAGAAATTGATTTATTGAAAAGATCCATCTCCAAAGAATGATTCATCCAGAAATCTGGCATTAGAATCATTCAGACCAAATCATTGAATCAGTCAGGTTTCATGAACAGGTGCAATTGATTTATTGAAAAGAGCCATTTCTAAAGAATGATTCATTCCCAAATCTGACATTGGAAATATTCTGACAGAATTATTCAGGCTTTATGAAGAGGAGAAAGATCCATGTCTAAAGAATGATTTATTTACAAATCTGACTTTGGAATCTTTCAGACTGAATCGTTGAATCAGTCAGAAACTTTCAGGTTTTATGAACTGGAGAATTTGATTCATTAAAAATATCTATTTCTATTTTTAAAAAAAATATTCATTTACAAATTTGACATTGGAATCATTGAATCAATCAGGTT